ATTCAATGTTTTAAAATTAATTACATTTAAATAATGATAAAATTGTTTAATGGAGTAAAAACTAAACCAGTTTCTTATTCATTATGCAAAAGTTTTATCTTAACTCAAATGATAACAATTTTAATTTTCCTTACGTTATTTTAAAATTTAAATTAGTTCCAAATGGTTAAAATCGTGTTATATATTTAAAAGTTAGTTTGAATGAATGAAATTTTTTAACAGTGGTAGAGCCCGCTTTAACATCTTCACACGAATCGGCCCGGTTCGCCCGGTGATATACCACGACCACACAGAAGACAGGCGTCAAGTGGAAGCAATTCCGCGTTTCGTCTGATGAGTGTGCGTCCCGGAGGCCTAATTTAGTCCTCTTTCCCTTCCCACCCTTTTTCTTATAAGGAAATGATGGGAAGTGGAAGTGGACTTTCCGGATGAGAGGATGCATGGAAAGGGAAGATATTTTATTTCAGTGCATCCTCTCTTCCGTGGATTATAGGTAGGCAACGCATATGCAATTGCGTATGTCTATAGGCAACGGTCACTTCGCTATTTCAGCGATTTCAGGTGGCCGCTCGCTCGTTTGTCACCTTTTGATATATAAAAAAATTACATAAGATAAACAGGTTCGTAGAGTAAATAATAAAATGTGTAACACTTTTTTAAAAATATATTTAAAGCAACGTAGAGTTAAAAAAATCTTCCTGTTTATTTCCGAACCTTATAATCGATCCTAAAGATATGCCCAAATACTATTTTCAATATTTTGAATGTGTACAGTCAGCGTCATATAGATCGTCACAGACAAGATATGCAAATATATAGGTACATCAAAAGTAATCAATTATATCGGTACAACAAAAGTCCTCAAAATAATAGATACATTCACCCTGCTCAAATACATCGGTACATACACAGCGTCAAATATATGAGTACATGCAAGATGCTCATAAATATCGTAGCAGCCACAGCGTCATAAGTAACGAAGCAGTCAAGGTGCGCAAAAATATCGGTACATTTGACAAAATTGAACTCTATCTCTATATACTTGTGATACAATTTGGAATAAACTACTTCTGTTACATTCATTTGACACTTTGCATCAAACCATTTTTCAAAATTTACTAAAAGTGTTCGACGCGGATGACAGATTTTAGGTAGATAAAACCAACATCAAATTTAAGTTTGTCATCATATATGCTAGTTTGGTCTCGTGGCCTTATCGTTCGCCGCCGTTGGTACGTAAGGTCGGCGGTTCAAATCCCAAGCCACTATTTTTTTTTATTTTTATATTTAAACTTTTTA